TCTGCTCCCCAAATGGCAACTACAAGGTGGGGACGGTTCGCCCCGGGTGTTACCTCTGAGGGGGGTAACAAAATAGACTCTGCGGCGATCTCAGCAAAAAAATCTCAACAACATTGGTCAATTAATGGTGGGAGTAGATCGCAGTCTCTTGGACATGCCTGTTATAATAAAATAACACAAGCCATAAACACACCCATTCTGTAGATTTAAGTCCACAGTTGCCTGCTTGTTATCAGAGGCCCAGAATCCACATTCCTTTGTAAGAAAATATGAAATAAAGTCAAACCATTTTTGCAGGCAAAAACAAAACAAAAATTCAATGGGAGGGGGAGACAAGAATTTTCCGGGTACCACCTGGCCTTGCTATGCCACTGACTAAATATTCCATTTTGGCGACGATACCCTGGTTTAAGGGGCCATTTGGTGCCTAGATTGTATGTCTGAGTTTCTAACACTGGCTTGGACATCTGCAAAGGTCACTTGATCAGTAGAGGCAGATCTCATGGGATTCCTCTAGTGTTCCTGCATCCTGTGATGTGTTGATGCTTAAAGCCCTTGAAAGTTAGATGGCATCCCCTTTCTGGAAAGGGCAGCCTTCCCAGCCACACTGTGTTAATAATACCCGTTCTTTGTCAGGGAATGGGGACGTTTTCAAAGGTGGAGTTGCTTTGCATGAAATAGTAGATGCACAGAAGCAATCCATCTGAAAGTCGTCGCAACCTCTTTGCCTACAGTGGCAAAACCTTGGCATTTCTAAGCAGTACTTGAAGCCCATTTAAAGCGGCTTGACACTGCCGCATTGTTCAAAGAAGGGTTATCCGCTTGGTGTGGGAGGGGTCAAGTTTTTGTAAGTAGGGCTGTTGTACTGTACTTAAGGTCTGATTGTTCTCACACAGCTGCCTAAAAACCGAACCGCCAAACTGTGTTGCGCTCAGGCACAATATTTAAATGGATTTGTTATGTCAGCAGTGACGGGCCCTTTGTTCAAGTTGACAGAAGAATTCTATTGTTCCGGATTTTCCCAGAGTCTGTTCCTCCTAATACTGCCCTCTGAAGATAGCTAGGCTGTTGTTGAAAAAAACATCCCTAGAGATGGACAAAGTTGGGGGTGGAGGGAGGGAGGACCCGCCAGCTTTACAGCAATATTTCATTAGTATTTGGCTAAAAAGCGAACCAAGCAGTTCAGGACTAAATATAGAACGAAACTTGAAGCTATAGCTCTTCCCAGCTCCCCAAAATCAACACAAATAGGAAGTTCTTTTAACTCAAGATGTGTGTGTAACTTGCCCTAAGGACGCGTAGCTTATTTAAAGCTCATAGTCTACATGTAGGGACCCAGAATTAAGAACAACAACAATTACAACATTTTATGATTTGTATCCCACCCATCTGATTGGGTTGCCCCAACATAGATAAAAGCATAATGAAACATTATACATTAAAAGGCTTCCCTATACAGGGTTGCCTTCAGAGGTCTTCTAAAGGTTACATAGTTACTCCTCTCCTTGACATCTGATAGGAGGGCGTTCCACAGGACAGGTGCCACTACCGAGAAGGACCTCTGCCTGGTTCCCTGTAGCTTCATTTCTTGCAGTGAGGGAATCGCCAGAAAGCCCTCAGTGCTGGACTTCAGTGTCTGGGCTGAACAATGGGGGTGGAGACGCTCCTTCAGATATACTGGACCAAGGCCGTTTAGGGCTTTAAAGGTCAGGACCAACACTTTGAATTGTGCTCGGAAACGTACTGGGAACCAATGTAGGTCCTTCAGGACCAGTGTAATCCCCCAACTTCTCCAGTAAAAGGGTCTGAGGTTTTGGAGCCAAGAAAGCATCCTGTAGAGTTAGAGATGGTCTAAGAGGTATACTTCAGCTTCACACGAGGCATTTGTGTAATCTTACTGAGATTCCCTTTTAAAAAAAAAAAAGCAGATATTTTCCCTAATCACCATCCCATATCCACTTCAGTTTTCATTCTAGGTGGAAATTTGGTGCCAACTCCATTTGCCAACACTTCTTAGACAGTCTTGGGTACTGGCATTTTCCAAAAGAGGTTGTCTCTCAAATATTTAGGGCTTTAAATACTAATGTGAACACCTTGAATTTGGCCCAGAAATGAACTGGCAGCCAATCAAGGCTCGGTTTGCCCTTTAATGCTTTCTGCGAGGAGGCTGTGTACTAATGAACCCAGGGAAACAATCAGCGATATGTCTTTTTATTTTATTTTATTTTCCCCGCTCCTCACAAGATTCAGAGTGATTAGAATATGAAAATGATGAGCACAATGGTGCAGATGTTTTAAAATCACAGCAGACAGCAATTAGTGACATGGGAACCAGCTGCTTATCTATCCAGATAAAGCTTCTTAATAGAGAATTACATTTGAGGTACTGTGGTGTGTGTGTGTTTTTTGCAGATGGATCTCCCAATGCTTTAAATGAGAGGGCATCAAGGTACAGTGGTACCTCGGGTTACAGACACTTCAGGTTAAGAACAGACCTCCAGAACGAATTAAGTTCTTAACCTGAGGTAAAGGTAAAGGGACCCCTGACCATTAGGTCCAGTCATGACTGACTCTGGGGTTGCGGCGCTCATCTTGCTTTATTGGCCGAGGGAGCCGGCGTACAGCTTCCGGGTCATGTGGCCAGCATGACTAAGCGACTTCTGGTGAACCAGAGCAGCGCACGGAAACGCTGTTTACCTTCCCGCCGGAGCGGTACCTATTTATCTACCTGCACTTTGACGTGCTTTCGAACTGCTAGGTTGGCAGGAGCAGGGACCGAGCAACGGGAGCTCACCCCATCCCGGGGATTCGAACCACCAATCTTCTAATCGGCAAGTCCTAGGCTCTGTGGTCTAACCCACAGCGCCAGCCGTGTCCCTAAGATATAGATGTAGGTATATGCTAATATGCATATGATTATTAATAACCTACCCTATTCAGTAGAAACTCATTCCAAATATCAATATATTTATCCAAACAAAGTCCGTGTCTGTAAGCAATCGGTTCATATGTTGGACTGAAGACATGACAGCACTCACAACATATGAACGGAGCTTTTTGCCACTTCTTAAAAGTTGAAGAGGCTCTTAGCCACTGGGCGCTATACTGCAAACCACTGACTGCCATCTAGCCTGTCTTACCCAATCTGCTGGTGGTGGTTGTTTTAAAGTCTCTCTCTCTTTCTCTCTCTCTCATTACTTTGGCATGTTGGCTGTTGCTTTTGTGTTTGTTCTCCTCCCTGCCTTTTGACAGTGCAGTTCACCCAGCGGGGCAAAGAGAAGCCAAAACATTAGGAGCAACAGGATCAGGCGGAGAGCCAGATGGAGACACTGGGAGCAAAATGCGCTCTGAGTGCATTAATTTCAGCTGGCTGTGCCAGTTATTCTGAGTAAACAGTCTACACGTATCAGTTGCAGCTAATGAAACTCAACCTGCTCTGAGCCACAGGATCTGTGGTTACCATGCAGCAGTCAAGCACGCGGAAAGATCCCTGTCCTCCCGCACATGCGCTCGCCCCCAAATGATCAGCCTTGACAAGTAGGAGGAAACTAAGAGAATCTTACGGTATCGGGGTAGAAAGCAGGAACCTGGATTCTGTAGGCAGAACCTGAAATTCAGGGCTGTGAATTGGGTCAGATTTGGTCCAATCCAAAAGAGAGCAACTTGACCGGAATGGTGGTAACTCGAAATCTAACCTCCAATCTGGTTGACAGGAGCAGTCGACCAACACATCTGAATGGACTGGGAGAGCTTGCTCTAACCACTGTGCCCTGCTGTCATTTCATTTCTTTGTAGCTGGGGTGGTGGACACATGTCAGGCTTGCAGGATATACCTTTGCTTGTTCCTTTTTACTAGAATACTGAAATCTGCTAGTTGGTGCCAGGTGTAAAGTGACTAACATGAGCATTTCTGAGCCCGTAGATTTGTTTTTGAGCACCAGGATTAAACTCAATCCTTTCACTCCTGGTGTCCTTCCTGAAAGCTTTCTTAATTTCAAGAATGCAATTTCAGGGTGTTGGGGTTGGTCATTTTGTTGTGTTTATTGTTAAGCAACTGGGAATCGGAAATCCTTGCCAACCGAGACCAGATTCCAGTCTACCTCCTGCCCATTCCTGGTCTATAGCATCTCTTTTTTCTAAAATGCTACTTTTAAATGAGAAAATGCTATGCTAGCTCTTGTAAAGTCTTCTGAAATAATGGGGGGGAAATGGAATTAGGAAAAGAAAGGTGAATGGGAGCCAGGATATTTCGGGGGTTTGTTTTGTTTTTTAATGGATCTGCTGTGTCAAGAGAATGTGACAGCAAGCTTTGGATTTGTGCCGAACTCTTTTTTTCCAATTTGGAGCATGAATTCTTGTGACACTCAGTATAAAGGTCCTTCCATTTCTTTCACCGTAGAAAGTATAGTCATAGATATCTCACCATGGAAATGTGTTCTTCCAGTGCATAGACAGGGGCGTAAAGAATAGAAGGGTGCTGTTTTAAGTTCACTGGTCCCAGGTTGTTCTATTCTGTACATAGCCCCTTTTTACAAACAGAACAAACAATTACAGTTGCACCTTGGTTTTCAAACACCTTGGGAGTTGAACCTTTTGGCTCACAAAAGATTGAAAACTGGAGGTATTTGTTGCGGTTTTCGAACGTTCTTTGGAACCCGAACATCCGACGTGACTTCCACAGCTTCCGATTGGCTGCAAGAGTTTGCTGCAGCCAATCGGAAGCTGCACCTTGGTTCCCAAACGTTTTGGAAGTCAAACGGACTTCTGGAGCAGATTCCGTTCGACTTCCAAGGTACCACTGTATTTATTGCAGTCCAAAGACACACAAGTTGCTTATTTCCTAAAATACATATATTTAGTATAAGAATATTTATTATATTGTGGGTTTGTTTGCTTTGTTTTCATTTTGCAAGAAAACAAAAACCCATTCTGGCAAATTCTTTTCAGGGATCAGAAGCCCTAACTTTTTCTCTCTTCTTTTCTCTTTTTCTCATTCCCAGGTTTATGACAGACTGCCAAAGCATTCTGCTGTGCACTATGATCCCGTTCTCCAGCAAGACTTCACCAGTGACACCTTAAAATCGCGGCACCAGCAAAAAAGCAACAACCAGCATCATCTCGACTGGTCGGTGAGCTCTGAATCTGGGCCAGCTCCTCAAGCCTGCTTCATTGCCCCAGAGCCACACCGAGAAGCCACCAAGATCCCTGGTTCGGAGCCCACTGTATCTTTCAGCAAGTCCCAAGTGAAGAAATCTAACGCCAGCAGCACCTGGGCTCAGTTGTCAAACGGTAATAATAAAGACCTTGCAGCAATCAGTGCAGTCCCAGGTTCTAATAGTCTCAGTGCAACTTCCCAGCCAAACAAACTGTCTGACTGCAATGGTTTTTCGCCCCTAGTGAGTCAAGAGGGAGAGGGACAGGTAGAAGCCCTCAACCAACCCACTGGCAGCACAAAGAAGAAATCCAGTAAGAAAGACTTGATCAACCAAACCATCCAAAATGCAGACATAGAATGGGTGAAAAATCCTCAGAAGTCATTTGAAGCCAAAACCCACGACAACATGGAAGGGAAGAAGGAATCCAGCTCAACTAAGCCATCACCCCCTAGGCAAAGCCCACATTCTGCCAACACTTCTGAAAACGATTCGAGTCACGTACGGATTACTATTCCAATCAAGACTCCAGTAGTGGAGACACCTGGTCACAAAAGGAAGAAACGGCAGTCTGCAAAAGCCGTTGTCGACAAGAGTGTCCCAGAGAAAACCTCTCCTCCCGGGCATCCTGTGGGCAGTGATGTAGCCAGCATGACTAACGCACAGGCAGAGGTGTGCAAGAAAGACCTGCGAGTTACAAAGCAAGGGAAAGCGATGGAAAGTGACCCTCCTTTGTTACCAGTGGAAAGCAATGAGATAGTCAGCAAATCTCCCGCGACCAATGCCACCAGGCTCAGAAAGTCCGCAGTTGTGACGCCTGCTTCAGTTACACACGTGACATCTGCTTCCGTTACACACGATGCCCCGACACCTTGCAAGCAGCCGGAGGTTCAGCACCCGAAGTTTGCAGCAAAGCGAAGGTGGACGTGTAGCAAACCTAAAAATGTGCTCCGGGAACCTTCTCTAGGCCTCCCTGAGAAACTGATGGTAGAACCTCCTTCAGCTTATCCCATAACACCATCCAGTCCTCTGTATACCAATACAGACAGTCTTACTGTGATTACTCCCATCAAGAAGAAGAGGGGGCGACCAAAAAAACAGCCTTTGCTCACTGTTGAAACCATCCATGAAGGAACGTCCACCAGCCCAGTCAGCCCCATCAGTCGGGAATTTCCTGGCACGAAGAAGAGGAAGAGGAGGAGGAACTTGGTGAAGTTAGCTCAGATGGCCCCCGGGGAAGATACGAACACCATCAGCGAGCTGAAGTTTCACAAGAAAGTTGGCAAGCTTGGTGTTCTTGATAAGAAGACCATCAAGACCATTAACAAAATGAAGAGTCTCAAGAGGAAAAACCTTTTGAGCCAGATCTTGTCTTGCTCGAGTAGCATGGCTCTGAAGATGAAAACGCAGCCGCCAGCCAACACAGGGGCTCCCACCATCGATGCGAGACTAGGGAAGCAAATAAACGTGAGCAAGAAGGGGACTATCTACATTGGTAAGAAAAGGGGAAGAAAGCCGAGATCCGAGCTGCAGCCCCCACTGGAAGACCCGAAGACAGCCATGAAACATTTGAGGCCCGTATCCAGCCAGCCAGAAAACCCAGCAGTGCCTTCTACCTTGCAGTCACTTGTGGCATCATCATCACCAGCAGCCGTCCATCCGCTCTCGACGCAGCTAGTGGGCTCTAACGGCAGCCTTAGCCCTGCCAGCACTGAAATGAATTTTTCAGAGTTAAAGACTATGCCAAATCTACAGCCCATCAGCGCTCTTCCCACAAAAACTCAGAAAGGAATACACAGCGGGACTTGGAAGTTGTCCCCACCCAGGCTCATGGCGAATTCTCCTTCCCACCTTTGCGATATAGGTTCCCTGAAGGAGGTCACGCTGTCTCCGGTGAGCGAATCCCACAGCGAGGAAACCATACCGAGTGACAGTGGGATCGGTACCGACAACAACAGTACGTCCGACCAAGCGGAGAAGACTTCGGAATCTCGCAGAAGATACTCATTTGACTTCTGCAGCCTGGACAATCCAGAGGTCATTCAGTCTGACACCAGCACTAAGAACAGGCACAGTCACCGGCAGAAGCATCTCATCGTTGATAACTTTCTCGCTCATGAGACTATGAAGAAGCCAAAGCACAAGAGGAAGAGGAAGAACCTGCAGAACAGAGATGACCTCCAGTTCCTTGCAGACCTGGAAGAGCTCATCAGCAAGTTCCAAGTGTTCAGGATTTCTCACCGTAGCTACACATTTTACCACGAGAATCCGTATCCCAGCATTTTCAGGATTAACTTTGATCACTATTACCCTATGCCATATATCCAGTATGACCCTTTGCTGTATCTTCGCAGGACGTCCGACATGAAGTCTAAGAAGAAGCGTGGTAGACCTGCCAAAACCAATGACACCATGACGAAGGTGCCTTTCTTACAAGGGTTTGGTTACCCTATTCCCAGTGGGAGTTACTATGCACCCTATGGAATGCCTTACACATCAATGCCTATGATGAACCTTGGCTACTACAGTCAGTATCCTGCTCCTTTGTACTTGTCTCACACACTCGGAGCAGCTTCTCCGTTCATGAGGCCCACCGTGCCTCCTCCCCAGTTCCACACAAGCTCTCACATGAAGATGCCCAATACTGCCAAGCATAAAGTGAAGCATGGGGTCCACCTGCAGACACCGGTAGGGATCGGCCTTGGGGATGTGCATTCTTCACTGACCTCTCCAAAGGCCGCAGGGACAAGCATACCCAGTGGCCGACTTCACAAAAGGAAACACAAACATAAGCACAAACACAAGGACGAGCGGATATTGGGGGCTCACGACGACCTGAGCAGTCTCTTCGCAAGCAAGTCCACTGGCTTCACCAGCCATTCGGTCAGTGACAGATTAAACGTCTCGGACAAAGAGCTCTCCTTGCTGACGGAGAAGAGCAAGCATAAGGAGAAACAGAAGCACCAGCATTGTGAAACCAGTGGGCACAAGGTTTCCAAGAGCAACTTCGAAGTGGATACCTTGTCTACGTTGTCTCTCTCTGACACCCAACAGTGGGTGCAGAGCAAGGATAAAAGTAACTCAAGCAATGATCCCATGGACTCTTGCATGAAGAGGTATTCTGGGAACACTGACAGCAGCGCACGGTCCGAGTCCCTGGACGTCTTTGGCGAGATGAATTCCTTGAGTGAAAAGCGGGACAATGATGGGAGCAAAAGGAGGAGTTTCGAAGGGTTCGAAACATACAGGGAGAAGGACCTTCAGACCTTCAGAACAAGCAGGAAGGACAGGAGCTGCTATGACTCATTGACAGCTTCAGGTAGGAATCTGAAAACACATATTTCTCTCAGTGCCATTTTTTATGTGTTTGTTTTCCTTGCAGCTGGGTGTTTTGATGCCTGTTATTTGATGTTTATTTATGGCATTTGTATCCTGCTGTTCTGTCAATGCACTCAAGGTGGTTGATTATTTAAAATAATGGTTTAGAGCCATCTAGACACTTCACAGAAGGGGCGAAGGGAAGAAGATTCTCTTTGGATGGTGTTATTGCTGTTGCTATAAAATGAAGCAAAATGATGCCCATGTGAAACAGTCACTGCAGGAGACAGTTTTGGGAGCGGAGGAACCAATTGGCAGTTGGTGTTGGCCATCTGATGGAGAGTCCAGGTTGAAGGCTTGAACATGACGATTCTCCAGTGGGCAGGGTACTCTTAAATAGCATAGTGAGCTCACTCTAAGAGACTGTTTTAGTGCAGAAGTCCATGTACAGCTAAACAAGAATGATATTTTGGCATTGCTTGGTAGTAGTACACATGCTCTACATGCAGAAATCCCTGGGTTCAATACCTGGCATTTCCAGGTGACAGGTGCAGGGAAAGGCCCTCTACCTGAAACCTCGGAGAACTGGCAGTCAAGAGTAGGCAGTCAAGAGCTAGATGACTCAGTTTAGGACAGCTTCATCTGCAGCTTCATAAATCAATCTGTGATTCTGGAGGCAGGTCCAGGCAAGTCAGGATAGTTCCCTATGTGTCTTCTCCAGTCCCCCTGTTGGTTGTTCTGTTTGCATGTAAAACATTCAAGCAGATAGAGAGGGGATGAGCATAGTAAGTGCTTTCACCCTCCAGTCTGAGGAGGACCAGGATCTGAAAAGAGGCACCTCCTCTACGTGTGAGCGTGAAGCTCTGTGCAGTTTAGAACTCGGATTACACAGCCAGTCTCACCCGCCATCTTCCTTTCCCCAGAATGCAACAATGACTCCAGGGGCACTCTGGGGAAAGGACAGTGTTGTGTAGTGCACACACCCAACAAAATGCAAAAAGAAAAAAATAGAACATGTTGGAAGCCAATAGCAGCCCGTGTCAGGGGCTGACGCCATCTTTGTTTCAGACCACCACTCTGTCCCAACTCTGTTCTCTGGTGGTCACTGGCTCCCCAAGCTTTCTGGCCCTGCGCTTGGTCCCCGAAGCCCAGCCCTGACAGAGCCACTGCTCTCACGTAAAAAAAGGTTTGTGGGTAAAGAGATAACAGATGCCACCATTTATTTATCACTATTTATTCATAAAAATGTTTATTCATTGCTGTCTCATAACAAAGCAGTTTCCAACAATATGTATATATAATTAAAAACATGTAAAAGTTTTAAATCAGAGAGCACCATGTAACGATTATGGAAAGATGTTTTCTTAATTCCCTGCATAACCCTAGCGGTCAAGAAAACACAAAAAGGTGGTCAGTATATGCTTACAAGTTCCCCATCCCTGGTCTAAGGCTTGGGATGCCTGGTTTCGTGTGTTTTGTCAGGCAAATTACCTTAAAAGTGAAGGTTTAAGGAGCCAGTTCATGTAATTGAGGTAGGCTGGGCTAAGTGTTTGGGAGTAGTTGTGTGGTGGTTTCTTTACTGGCTGCCCAAATTGTTCAACTTGGGGAGACATTTTTATCGGCCACCTCCAAGAAGCCTTGTGGCAGCCAAGCGAAACTCCAGACCTCTTTGAAGTGCCGTGACTCATGCTGTGACCCTAAGATCACTTAAGTTGCAAGTAATCTCTTATTACTATTATTGTTGGGTTACAGGGAAATGTGTTTTTGTCTTGAGCTGAAACTTATGTGATTCCCTTTGGCTTTGGGAGCCTTTAAATTCCCACTGCTTCTGAGAAAAGACTTTCAACAGAGCTTGCATCGCACACCCCTAATGCAATGGCCATATTCTCTATCTCCACTATAGGAGACAGTATGTGTTAAGCTGTGGGCGAACATATCAGACGACACAGCGATTCTTCAAACAGCTCTTGTTTGTTCAAAGGCCAGAAGAGAACTGAACTGAGGAGCTCAGTCAGCCTGCTTATATAGAGCTCCAGAACAATGTAACTGTAGCAACTTTCTAAAACTATCCAATCACTGAACGTCACTTTCGATCCTTCATTTGCATACAAACTATCCAATCACTGAACGTCACTTTCGATCCTTCATTTGCATAACTATCTACATTATCCCCCTGCTGGCCCAGGGTGAGAACTTCAATACATAACAGTATGCCCCTAAATCCTAGTTGTGAGGAACTGCAAGTGGGGAGAACGCTGTTGTACTCAGGATCTGCTTGCAGGCTTCCCATATGCATGGAGCTGGCCACTACGAAAGCAAGATGCTGGAGTAGATGGGCCTTTGCCCTCATCCAGCATAAGAACATAAGAAGAGTGTGCTGGATCAGGCCAATGGCCCATCTAGTCCATCATTCTGCTCTCATAGTGGCCAACCTAATGCCTGAGGGAAGGGAAACCAGTGATCCGAACATGAGCACAAGACCCCTCTCCCCGCCCGTAGTTTCCAGAAAACGATATTCGGAAGCATTTCTGCTGCCAATTGTGAGGGCAGAGCATAGCCATGTTGGCTAGTAGCCATTAATAGCCCTTTCCTCCATGAATTAGTCTAATCCTCTTTTAAAGACCAGAGATTGAACGAGTTCTATAGTTTGACTGTCCACTGCATGAAGAAGTATTGTCTTTTATCTGTCCTAAATCTTCCAACGCGGGTGGCGCTGTGGGTTAAACCACAGAGCCTAGGACTTGCCGATCAGAAGGTCGGCGGTTCGAATCCCCACGACGGGGTGAGCTCTCGTTGCTCGGTCCCTGCTCCTGCCAACCTAGCAGTTCGAAAGCACCCCAAAAAGTACAAGTAGATAAATAGGTACCGCTCCGGTGGGAAGGTAAACGGCATTTCCGTGCGCTGCTCTGGTTCGCCAGAAGCGGCTTAGTCATGCTGGCCGCATGACCCGGAAGCTGTACGCCGGCTCCCTCGGCCAATAAAGCGAGATGAGCGCCGCAACCTCAGAGTCGGCCACGACTGGACCTAATGGTCAGGGGTCCCTGTACCTTTTTATACCCTGCCCTCCCCGGCCAGAGCCGGGCTCAGGGCGGCTAACACCAATAAAATCACAGTAAAGGGGAAAAAGAGAGGGGGACGACGACACAATTTTAAATACAGGTTAAAATGCAATTTAAAATACAGCTAATTTTAAAGTAGCTGATAAATAAAGACCATAAGGGGAGAGAAACATAAGGGTCAGACCGAGTTCAAACCAAAGGCCAGGCGGAACAGCTCTGTCTTGCATTCCCTGCGGAAAGATGTCAAATCTCGCAGGGCCCTGGTCTCTTGTGACAGAGCGTTCTACCATGTCAGGGCCAGTACTGAAAAGGCCCTGGCCCTAGTTGAGACCAATCTAACCACCTTGCGACCTGGGACCTCCAAAGTGCTGTTATTTGTGGACCTTAAGGTCCTCCACGGGGCATACCAGGAGAGGCGGTCCCGTAGGTACATGGGTCCTAGGCTGGACATTCAACTCCCTTGGATGTCCAAGACTTCTAGTGTTATTGGAGAGGGAGAAAAACTTATACAAGATGAAAACATGGAAGTTGGAAGCATTGGGGGGGGGGGAATTGCAACCGATGAATGGGGCCATGCTTCTGAATTCTTAGCAAGATACCAAATGCTGCAGACACCTATGTGCGGATGTGGTCCAGACTGTTCACCACTTCTCCCTCCTAACTAGATTTTCCACCAGTGCCTCATTCAGGCCTAGCCCTTTTTGCTAGGCCAGAGAGAAAAGGGGAGCCTCTGTTGCGGTTGCCTAGCAACGGCTGCATGTCAAGTGCTGGTCCAGGCACCAGAGCAGATATCAGTTGTTCTGGTCTCAGTTATCAAGAGACAAATAGAAATGAAAGAGTAAAATCCTCTTCCTGTCTTGAAATAATCCTATTTGGCCTTCACGGGTCACCGTGATGTTTCTAGGCCAAGATTTCTATCCCTTAAAGCCTATTCACACGTTTGCATGTACTTGGAAACAGTTCTCCGAGTACAAATTAATTATGATTACTAAGTGTGTGTTTGGATATCAGCCTTTTCCCTGCAAAATATATAGAAGGAAGGTTTCAGTCTTTTTTTTACAGGCTTATTTAAACCAATCCAGGATTAATGTACTTTGTACTTATAAGGAACAAACCACATCTATGAAACTAATTGATAATATAGGGTCAGGTGGCCAGGACCTGTTCCGTCACCTCCCAGTTTCTCGTGGTGAAGAAAAATAGTTTAGCGAAACCTCCAGCCGAATTCTTACACAAAAATCAAAATAAAATGACATGACAAATCTACCATTAGGCGACTTTCCCTCATTGTTTATTAACAATGAAAATGCCTTCCCAATGCTCCTCCATGTGGTGACATTTGGCATTTATTACCTCAGTTCTCTGTCATCTCCACAAAGTAGCAAATCACACGTCCCCCTTCGTGGACGAATATTCAGAGAAAATGGTCACCTCTCAAAAACGTCACTTAACGGTCTGTGAAGAATGTGTGCAAGTATTGTGCCTTAAAGGAGAGAGTCTCTGAAAGTAAGGGAACCAGTAAAATCGCAAAGATTTTTCAGAGGATGTAAAAACACAACAGTTACTCATGAATGGAAAATAAAGTCATCTTTGCTTGAGTTCTAACTAGACTGGGTTTGCTGTTCCAGCTTCTTCTTTAAAAAAAACAACACAAAAAAACTCTGTGTTTATTTTCATGTCTGCAAAAATGTGGGGCTCTCCATGATCTAATCCATCAAGCTGCAGATTATGAGCTTGGTTTGTTCTTTGTCAAAAGTATTATTTGGATGGAAAAGTCATCAGCATTTAGCTAACCAGAGCCATACTTTGTACTATACAAAGAGGAAAAGAAAAATATATTAAAACTAAAACGAGCTCTGCCAGGAAAACCAGGAGCCAATAGCGCTCATTAAACTCTGTGATTGTCTGCTTATGATTGTATGAGGCCACGGCGCAACATTTT